TGTCGCTGAAGTTCTTTTTGATTTGTCAATGCTAGCAACCACGTTACCATATGGTTCCTACATGTATATACATGTAACTCGACCCATTGACTACTGTACCAGGCAAGAGTTAGCAAAAGGTCCCAAACATTCACAAATAGTGGCAAAGGATTGGCAAATAGTTGCTAATCTTTGCAAAACCTGTTGCTTATATTTGCTTACAGTTGCTAATTATCACTAAACATCCCTGATCCTCGCCAACATTTGTCAGAAAAATTGGCGAATCCAAAATCGCAACGTTTGCAAGCATTCGCCGCTCAGTGAGATACCCCCTTTACTCTAACTCTAAGTTAAAGTTTGTCTGACTCTAAGAATAAATAAAAAGATCTAACTTTACTTGAGATTTAAATCAAGAAAAAGTATAAAAAATAAGTGATGGCAAGGGCTAAGTTGAGGAGAGGGGGGGAGGGGTGTGGGGGCAGGGGTAGGAGGCTTATAAATCGTAAACTTACAATTTTTCGACAAATGCTTATACAGTACGAGTATCTGAGTATACTTATACTTTATAGCAAGCGCGTAGCCAGGATTTCATTTTAGGGGGGGCGGTAGTGAGCACGCGAAGCGTGCGAATCACTTAAAGAGCGCGCGAAGCGCGCTCCCTAGGGGGGTGGGTGCAGGGAGGGGGGAGTTTCCCCCCTCCCGCGCGAAGCGCGGAAGCTTTGAAAGAAGACGATTCGTTGTACCTTTCTCGACTCATAATCCTTGTCTGAATTCAGTCCCTCCCCTCTCTCGCGCGAAGCTTTGACGTTTCATTAAATTATTAGAGAAAGAAGACGATTCGTTGTACCTCTCTCGACTCTTAATCCTTATCTGTATTCAGTCCCTCCCCTCTCACACGCGAAGCTTTGACGTTTCATTAAATTATTAGAGAAAGAAGACGATTCGTTGTACCTTTCCCGACTCATATTTCTTAATTTGAACTCAGTCTCCCCCTTCCCGCGCGAAGCGCGGAAGCTTTGACGATTCATTGTACCGTTCTCGACACCTTTTCCCTTTTTCTTCCTACGTCCTCTTTCTTTTTTTTCTTCTCTTTCTCTCTCTTTTTTTTTTTTGGCCGGCGTTTTGGGGGGGGGGGGGCGACCGCCCCCACCGCCCCCCCCCTGGCTACGCGCCTGCTTTATAGTAATACTAATAGTATGATTTTGAGTGTTGTTCAGGCCTGGTTTACTTTTATTTTTAGTCATACTTTGGTACGAATGGAGTTGATATTTGAAAATAACAAAAATAATAATAATTGCTGATTAGTTGAGTACATATGTATCTGCCTTAGTGGCACCCAAGCAGGCATGCAAAACAATCCAGAAATCATGGGAGCAACAACCGTTAACAAAAATAGACAAAATGTATGGCCAAGGGCCCTAAAAGGCTAAAGCTAAGCAGGTCCATACTTTCTTTTTTATATAATCCAACAGTAAACATGACAGCTTATTGTTTAGTAAGTGTCCAGACACATAACCCAACCCCCTCTCTACCTTTATATACAAAAATCTATCAAAGTATGCCACATGTTCATGCAAGTCAATGTACATGTACATGTAAAAGGAAGTCTGTGATAATGAGACTACATTACTTGAAGCTTGCTGTTATGGCTAGAACAGTTGAAGCATGTAATGATTTAATGAAGGCACTGATAAACTGCAACCCAGGTCTGGGGTCAATTATTCTATCTAGATTCCTGTAACCTAATCCACCATCACTTCTTCATATGAATTAATTACACTACACATTGAATAGAAACTGGTACAATTTAGGCATAAATGGGCATTTGGTCAAGATTATGAATTCTTGGTGAGATCATTTTTTTTATTGCATTATTCAGACAAATTTATGTATGAAAAAAAAAACATTTTCTAGCATTTTTCGTTTATCATTTTACCCTTTTTGCCAAATTTAAGTTTATTGGCATGTTTTATTTGTATTTATTTTGAATGCAATAATTATTGACTGTTCAGATAGAATTTAAAGCTTTTGTAGTGAACTTATAAACAAATGAATAACATCAAAATGATATTGGGATGGGAATTCATGGAAATTAGGATCATATGATAATGATCATAAAATAATTGCAAAAGCAATTGTAATATTGTAATATTTACTATAATTAGAAAGCTGGTTTATTCCTTTAAAAATTGATCCCCCATTTGTTATGAGTTTTAAGTCATGGAATGTGCAATAGATAAAAATAAGGGGCAATGTTGAAGTGAAAAGTTACAAAATGCACTGCTCTTGTTTGACTGTGCATTCAATTTCCCTATTGCCCGGCCTTTTCAACAGTTGGACAAGATGCTTCAGAAACTTGGCGACCAAAGCGGGATAAATATTGCCTGACATGTCAATGTAGTACTTAAAATTCAATTTCAGATTCTTAAGAATTTTGGTAATCATGGATGACCAATTTGGAATAATAGCCCCACTGTCATATACAAAAATCACACTCTCTAATGTCAAAGAAAGAAGAATTCTCTGCATAAAATTTCAAGTGCTTACCAGTTCATTTTGCAACTTTTCACTTTTTACCCTACCCCTATGTACTGCTCACTCCATGGCTGCAAAATCATAATAAATATGGTATCAATTTAAAGAGAAATAAATCCACTTTCTAATGATAATAATCAAAGCAATGATTGTGCCATGATAAGATCATAGCTCTCTTATCCAAATTGAGTTTCCATTTTTTTGTAGGGGTTTATTATCCTTATTACATCTTAACATTACATTAACCTTTACAGGAATTGGGTAACTTTGTCTCAGATTCTGAAACAAAATCCTAGAGTTAGCTCATGCTGCAATGATAATTATAAACCTTTAGGTCAGTCAGGAACTCCATGACTTTTACAAGCCGATCGCCTGTCTGAATATCAAGATATTTAGGATTGAAAATCAAAATCAAATTTTGCGTCTGCCAAACGGTTTTCATAACACTACTGTCTATTGGGGAAAACAGCTATGGTAAAACTGGTCACTCAAAGATTTTTACTTTTTTAAGGCACTTTTGTAGCGCAATTTTTTTAGGGCTTCATTATTACACCATATCACCGACACTGATAACACTGATAACACGCATCTCAGATTTAACAATGTTAAACGATCCCTTTAAGTATTGGTTGCTCATCCCTCTGTGCTTCTGCGTTGGTGTGATATGTTACTAGGCAACAAGTCAATGCTGGGGAGTAATCCATCACTGTTGGCTAACTGGGTCTTTAGGAAAATGAGAAGCTATTAATATTAAATGCACCTGTACTTATCTTAATGAGAAAGAAGGGAGTGATGGTAGACAAGTCTGCTTTGACGTACATGTAGCAATGCACAGGCATGACAGCAATATGGAAAATACAAAATTAGATAGATGTCTGCTTGTAGAGTGGGATTGGGTGGTTCTTGTATTGAACCTATAGGGGAAATGAAAATTCAGTAATTGTGGAGTTAACACAAAGGATAATGATGGAAAAGACAGAAAGAAAGAGAGAGAGAGAGAGAGAGAGAGAGGGAGGGGGGGAGGGTTTTTTTTGGGGGGGGGGGCAGGGGAGAGATATATAAAATGATTTACAAGGTGTCATTCTTACAGCTGAACAAGACATATATGAATGAAAACTAAAAGGAAAAAAAAAAGATGAAGAAAAAAAAAAGAAATTTGATGTAGGATAGTATGAGGTTTAACCTGCCTAGAGCTAAAAACTTAGAAAGGCATTATCACTATGTAAAATGATATTAAATATTTACCGGTAGTCAACTTGTCTGACTCCTTAGAGTTGAGTTGTGACGATATGGAACTTTGCAGAAGGATGACTACTTAAGTAGTTCAAGTTTCAAGTATATTCAACTCATAAGCATGATCAATTCATGATCAGCTGTATTTTTATTTTTAGAAGTAATAGGGAGGGGGAGGATAGCAAAAGTCAATGGTCTAGCTGTCAATGGTTGTCTGTATTGCCCATAAACACCCCCATCTACAGTAGGAACAGTACATTCTATGGGGTAATCTGATTCTGAATTAAATAGACGTTTAAAGATTAAATACTGAACTCTACATTTAGTATTCATTCATTTACACTATTAAAGGAAAGTCCACCCTGATACTAAGTTTGTTTTTATGAAAGTAGAAAAATAAGAGAAACAAATTAGTGAAAGTTTGAGCCATATCCAACTAAAAATAGGAAAGTTATGAATTTTTGAAGTTGTCATCAGTGAGACAATTTACTCTATTCATAAAATTTCATTAACTTTCATTTTCTTAGTTATTGATGACGGAATAGTATGTATGATTCAAAGTTTTCTCAAGGGAAAATACAAGTTTTTGAACGTTTATAGTACAGGGCAAATGGAAGGAGACCTCACAAGGCACATCAGAGAGTTTCTGATTTGTATTTGATTGATTGCACCTTTAAAAATTCATAACTTTCTTGTTTTTATTCAGTTTTGGCTCAAACTTTCACTGAGCTGTTTCTCTCATATTTCTGCTTCTATTAAAACCAACTTATCAAGGTGGACTTCACCTTTAATGCAAACAGTCAAAGTTTCAAGAAGACAAGTAATTAGGTTTATATTAGTAAGATTACATTCAATGATATCAATACAAAAAAGAATAGGAATAAATTACACTTTCAAGTTAACCTTAATGTATTTGTTGCTGACATGAATGAAGATATATGACTGCCATAAAACATGGCATATGATGTAGACTTTGTCCTTGGGTTATAAAGCATCATCTATTTTGGCTACTGAATAGTTGTTATTTAGATAGTCCCCTACTGTAGAATAAACAAGAAAGAGGGGGAAAGTAGAGAGAGAGAGAGAGAGAGAGAGAGACAATAGAGGGGGGCTCACAATAGAGCGAGCATCCTGTGTTTCTGGGGCGATGATGCATAGAAGGCAGCTTGCTATGCTGGTTGCCTGGTAACTCTATTGATTGGCCCCCACGCTACTGCGTGTTGGTAGGGGCTATACACAAGCAGACCGCTTAGGTCCCAGTTCATTTAGTACAGTAACAGCGGCTTAGCAGGCAGGCATTTTTATCGCGCGCAGTGCTCTTCTTCCTACAGTAGCAGTTGGTTTTTAACGACTTAAATCATTACATTTGAGAAGGATACAAATTGATAAAGGAGCTTTCCGTAGGATATATAACCAGGAAATATATATTTATATCTGAATTTCTGAGGTAAATATGACAGAAGAGTGCAAGTTTGTGGATTGTTGTGTTTGTGAAAGAAGGCCTTTTAGTGATCAGCTTGCCATTCTGTATCTTGGGTTTCAACAATCTTTGAAGTTGAAATGAAGCATTTATTATCCCATTTGGGAATTTGTTTTTCATTGGTAAAAGTTTACAGATCAATTGATCATAATCATCTACATTTACAGGAACTATAAAATACATTCAGCTTCAGTTGGGCAAGTTACATGAAATGAATTTTATACAGTGGGGATGCTGACAGAGCGAGAGAGTAGAAAAGAACCAAAGGCAGGTAGGCAGACGAGTAGGGTGAAGAAAGGATAGAATGAGAGCAAGTCAACATCAGATTGTAGATAGATAATAATAAACAGCTTCGATGTGGTTCAACAACAACATCATGGTACTTTTTCTCCTTGATCTCCCAATGTATTGTTGGATGTTCTTTCCTGTTATATGCCATCTTCCTACTTAATTAATCAGGTTTTCATTTTTAATTAAATCTCTTGCAGATATCAGAGGAACTAAGAGCAAGAAGCAACCATGAATTCCAGCAACTACACACCCACCATACCTCGAGCACCCATCGCGGCACACTTCACCGGGCCAGGTCCCAATGTGATGCTTCCAAGCTGCCTTGGAAATGGAACAGCCATCAACAAGAGGGAGATGCCACAGTTCTCCTTCGGTGTCCGACACAAGTCTTACAGCACAGACTACAGCCCGGGACCGTGTCACAACTTCCCCGCTGGAGTGACCAGGAAGGGAAACGACGGCACACCAAAGTATTCTCTGTACGCCCGCTCTAAGGAACTGACCGCCTTCAAGACACCAGGTCCAGGATCATACTCCCCTGAGAAGGCTGGACGTAGCGCCCACCTTCATGCTCCTGAACACACCTTTGGCTCAAGAACAAAAGGAATCACCTTCGACAAGTCACCAGGTAACTAGACACACATTGATGAATATAAACTTAACAGTAGAATACCCCCAATGATGGGGTTTATGTTGATGGATGATCGAGCCTCAAGGCAAAGGGTAAGGATAAGAGTAAGAATTCGCCAAGAAACTTTTTTTATTTTTTATATAGCTTCATTGGTAGAGGGTTAATCAACCAATTGACATGTGTTCAACTTTTTAGTTGGGGTATTTTTATGTTGTGCCGTGATTTAATGCATAAGGATTAAGGGCGCCTAACTTCTTCTCGCTTCAACATGATTTGAAAACTTGTAGAACCACTAGAGATAAGAGGCTCAAACTTTACCATAGGAACTCAATTTCATAAGATCTTGGGTTTATAAGTCAAAGGTCACAGGAATCCACTTCTTAAATTCTATTATTTGTCTTGTTTATAACTATAAAATTCTATTTTCTATTTTCGCAGCTCCCAACAACTACAGCCTACCCAGCATCCTTGGTGGACGCTCGTGCGTGAAGCCCAGCAAACCCGTCTACTCCATGCGAGGGCGCAACAAGATGGGTGGCTTCGACGAGGACCTCCAGAAGACCCCAGGACCAGGATCATACGACGTCGTCGACCCAGCCATCTACAAGAATAAATCCCCCATGTACTCAATAACCGGACGCAACCAGCTTCCCTGCGACAGCACACGCAAACCAGGACCAGGTCAGCACAGTCCGGAGAAGGTCACGGTCAACAAGAGGATGGCTCCTAAGTTCTCGTTTGGTGTACCTCATTCGCAATACACCACACCCCTCATCATTCAATCAGATTATTAAACCATTCAACAGCAGCAGCACCTATCTTTATTTGGTGAGTTACGTGTCAATTTAGAAAATGCTTTGGTTCGTCGTTTGGGTTGTTGTTCTGGGACCCGTTTCACAAAGCTTTTTTCCAATGACAAATGACAAAGATCAGTGACAAATCTGCTGATAACCTATCAGAAGCAAGCATTTCACTAGCTTATAATGAAAAACTGTAATTTGTCACTGATGACAAGTTTTGTGAAATTTCTTATGCTGGGAATGTATTTGAGCACAACAAAAATTACCATGCACAAAGGGTCTAGGAAGTAGTTTCTGACAAAACAGGTTTTAGATGTGATGAATAACTTCAATATGTATCTGCGTGATATGACTGTTTTGATTAAATCTACACACACTGTACACTTGCAGAGCATTGTCATGAAATGTATGGCATTGATTTCAATTCTACATGGATGGAAAGGTGTCCTAGATTGCTACTTGTATCAATAGTAGTAGTAGTAGCATTATTACTATTGTTATTATTATCATTATTACTATTGTTATTATTGATTTTATTGTTATCATTACTGATTATAAATTGTTACTCTCTTTTTTTCCTTTTAGAAAATAATATTCACTATAGCACATTATTTAATTGTTTTTTCTCTATTTTTCATTCGTTTTGATTTGCAGATAAGGATTTACATTGTCGCAAAGAGCGTATGCAGCAGAGTGTATCTTGGATTTTTCTGCCACTCGGTATCAAAATAAGTGTCCACTAAAACAAGAAAGAGACGTTAGTTACAACAGTAGCGACTTCAGCAACAACATTGTTAAGATTGTGGCAGCCAAATGGACAATGACCTGTGAGAAACTCCAAAAAAAGCCCTGGAGAGTTTCCTGAATTATTGCCAAGATTAATCCTGCTGCGCTGATATAGTACAGTGGCTCAGTGTACTGCTAAGACAATAGAACAATCGTCATGCCGACAAGCAAGATAAACATCGTATTTATAAGTTTTATCATGGAGAATTTGAGTGCAAAAACGTCTGTAATTGTTATTATTCTGCAACCGTCCATTATGTACTTATGTGGTTAATTCAACAAATATGCAAAATGAAATTATAGTATTAAAGGCTTCATCTGTGTATTGAAGCATTGATATGAGTTAACGCATGAGGTGTCTATCTTTTTTTAAATTATCCGTTTAGAAGAGACATAAAGCCACTGGTGATAGGTCAAACTCTAATTTGTAAATATCAACAACGAAACAAGTTTATTGTACATGTGTGATTGTATTCTATGTATTTGCATCCAATCATGCTTTAAAGCACTTTATCAAATGTATTCAACTATTCGTAGAGCAGGACTCGCCAACCTTCTTCCTAAATGAACTTTGACCTTGCTATTTTCCGAGCCACTCACATACGGTGCCTGATGAATGTGCGTTTCACAGTTTATACAACTATTGCTCAGTTAGTATTTATCAACTTTTGCTTCCAGTCGCGTCAACATCAAGTTGATAATCATGTTTTTATTTTGGTGGTTACAATAATGTACAATTGCTTTACAAAATGCAACCAAGGGGGTCAGGGAAACATGACCTAGACCAACCCCGAAGAAACAAGCATGCACCACCAACGGTCAGCACAGAATTGTGCCTTGAGAGTGAATTGGCCACCAACATGACACATCTTATACTCTCAAGTCAAGATAATTGTCATGTATCTTACTATACAACATTATGCAACTGTAGATTGGGTAATAACCTGTTTGAGTTGTGCATCAATAGGATTTTTCTTTTTTTTCCCAGAAAACAGGATTATGACTACAATTGTTCATTTTTACCAATTCGTTCTGCCTTTCATGCTAGACTTGACGAGGTGCTATGCAAGCTGTATTTCCGCTAAATCACATTTTTACATATGGCGTATACACTGTATGTACGATAGATTTTTTACTATATAGCTTTTGTGGTGATGTTCTGATCATATTTATCAAGTCTCACTTTGAACTTGTTTGGAACACAGTACCCGCCAAATGATTTAGACATACACTGTATTCTTGTATATGTACATTTCAAAGCAGTTTCTAGTGTATCCATGCAAGAAAAGTTTGATGTTTTTCTCATAGTTTGTGACGAGAAACTGAACGTTCATCATTCCACGACCTGCACTCACGAAGGGATTGCAGATGTGTGTATATTATCATACTAGATCATTCCAATATCTTCACTATTTGTGGCTTTTGGGTAGAATTAAAGTCGCGGAAAGAAACTAGTTCAACTATCAATTCTATTTTGAATGCACATAGCTGATCATGTAAGCTAACCAAATGCAAAGTAATTGTCAGAGCAGCTTCACTATTTTCAAACAGATGTTTGTTAAAGAAGTGACATCGAGGGGACTGGGGGTCAATGAAATAATGCATGATTTTCTCTTTGGAAGAGTTATTACTTAATATCATGGAGATCATGTTTTGAATGAGCTTGCCTTTCGATAAAAAAGTATAAAAATATACTTTGCTGTAAAAAATAGAATGTATGTGTGTGTTTGTGTGCTATCTATATACTGTGTAGCCCTCATATGATTGCACATTGTTTTGTCAAATTTCTCGAAATTCCGAAGTGAAAGCTTTTTTTTTTCAGTGATTTTCCAGCTGGTTTTGGAAAAGGTTCCTTAACTGAAAGAAATTCCACTCATCCGAACAGTATGTAACATGAAGTATTACAATCTCACTTCTGACTTAACACTATGCACTGAGAGAAAATTTGTATTAATTTGCAACCTTTCTAATCATGTCTCTTCAAATTATTAATTTTTTATTTGTTTTTCAAATGAAAATCTTAAATAATGCATTGTATATATATATAATCTTGCTTTGATGCCTTCTAGTTTATGTTATTACGTGATAAATATACAGGTATGAACATTAAAATTCAAAAAATATTTAAATATCCTTTTGTTGCTGTTATGTAAACTATCTGTCTTTAAAAGTCAATAGTTGTTTTATTTTGATTCAATTATAGATTTGTCTTAAAAAAGAAAAAGTCAGTAGGCATGGATTAAATCTATAGAATGAGAGAGAGAGAGAGAGAGAGAGAGAGAGAGAGAGAGAGAGAGAGAGAGAGAGAGAGTGAGTGAGAGAGAGGGGAAGAGGAAGAAGAATATGAGGGTTTATATAAAATTATGGGGAAGGAAAGAGAAATGTATCGTAGGAGGAAACTAAAGAGAGAGAGGCTAGGGGGACCGAGGAAGACAATCAGCAGAGAGAGAGAGAGATAAAAAGAGAAGAATATAATTAGGGTGTGTAATATGGGGAAGAAAAGAAACAAATATTTATATCAGTCAAAACAAACGAAGTCAATATTTACAAATTTTCTGTGATTTGAAGTGTTTTTCTTCTCTTTGCCTCTTCAGAGGGACTTAATTATTCCATTTCAAAATACATATAGATTTTTTACAAAATATGTAAAACGAAACATATGAATTATATACAAGATAAACATAATTTCTTAAAAGGATCATTATTATATTTCTATTACTTTCTTAACTTCTTCATTATCGAAGTATTTTATATTTTCTTTGCTTTTCAAACAATATTTCAATGATAAATTAAAATTATTTATTAACCTCTTTGGATTGGTTGGTACTTCCCCCAAAGTTTCGCTTTACGTATTCTTTGTACAGTATTTTACAAGTTGTAGACTGTTGATCTCACGGAGAGGGGAAGGAAGAGATATATTCACAAACGAGGAGCAGAGGTTCCTCGGCCCCATTGCATAAAACCCCCCTGACAAAACTTACCATTGGTGGTAAATTTGCCATTAATAATAATTGTTACTTCCACGGAAACCTTGATTTGATGGATTGTTGGTTTGACGTGATATGTTGCCAAGGTAGTTAATATTGATGGCAAAGTTAACATCGGTATGCAACGGGGCCCTGCGAGAGTAGGAGGACACTTTTTTTTGGGGGGGGGGGGGCTCGAAATTTGAAAATTTGACATTTTGTTCCGTTGGGGGGGGGGGGTTATGTCACCTTTTTTTAGGTCAGCCGTTGGCATAATAATTTTTAATTTTTTTATTTTTTTTATTTATTTATTTTTTATCAAAAAAACATACATATAACTATTTGTTAAACTGAAATGCTTAAAGATTGATGATATTAACTTCCTCCAAATTGCCATATTTATGTTCCGTTTTAATATCAAATTATTACCTACGTCATTATCTTTAATGTTCCAACCTAATAACATGGTTCATTCGTATTCAACAAGGCAGTCATCGAATTTACATGTGGTCAATCCTCACACTACATTAGCCCAGAAATCAATCAGACACAGAGGTCCAGATGTATGGAATTCTTTACCTAATGATATTCGAAATATAAAATCAACAAACTCTTTTAAAAGAGCACTCAAATGTATTATCATTTCACAGATGTAAGATATTACTTACATTATAATCTATTTATCAGTTCTAATTAAATCTAACATAATTTTGTTACTAGGCCTAACGAAAATTTTTTTTCTTTCTTTTTTTAAAACTTTGTAAATAGTGTAAATATTTCACTACAAAACTTTAGGCATTTTATTTGTCATATATTATATATTTGAAAGGTGTTGTAACGATTCAAGCTCTATTTGCTTATGTTTCATCACCTTTGTGTGTTCATTCTTCAAACTGTATATAAGTTGCAACTTGTCTTTGATAAAACAATGTTATATTCTTTTTCACGTGAAGTTAATTCAAATGTATTGTAAAATTGAAAATGATTTGTCATCTTATATTAATTTTCATGTGATGTTTATGGTGGCCCTGAAGGGACATTGCGAATAGACTAAATCGTGAAAAATATGCGATAAAATTCACGATATCGTCAATTTTATCGCATATTTTTCACGAAGAAATTCACGAAATTGACGATATCGTGAACTTTATCGTGAACTTTTCACGATGAAATTGACGATATCGTGAATTTTATCGTGAAAAGTTCACGATATAAAGTTCACGATATCGTCAATTTTATCGTGTACTCTATCGTGTACTCTATCGTGTACTCTCCTGACGGGCGCTTCGTAAACAAAACCAGCCCTAGCTGGGGGAGACAGAGAGAAGGAAAAAAGGGAAAGGGAAAGAGAAGATAAAAGGAAAGAAAGAAGAGGAAGAAGAAGAAAAGAGGGAAACGGGGGCAAAGGGCTTTTGCCTCGTCCCCCCGCCCCCCGCCAAAAAATAAATAAGAGAGAGAGAGAGAGAAGGAAAGGGAAAGAGAAGAAAGAAAGAGAAAAACGAAAAAGAGGGAGAATAGGAAAGAAAGGAAAAGAAAGAAAAGAAAGGAGGCAAGAGCCCTTCGCCCCTGTTTCCCTCTTTTCTTATTCTTTTTCCTCTTCTTTCTTTCCTTTTATATTTTCTTTCCCTCTCCCTTCTCTTTCCCTTTATGGCGGGAGGGGGAGGGGAGGTAAGAGCCTTTCGCCCTTCCCCCGTTTCCCTCTTTCCGTCTTCTTCTTCTTTCTTTCCTTTTATATTTTCTTTCCCTTTCCCTTTCCCTTCTCTCTATCTCTCTCTCTCTCTCTCCTATTTATTTGTTGGCGCGGGAGGGGGGGAGGAGGCAAGAGCCCCTCTTTTCTTCTTATTCTTCTTCCTTTCCTTTTTTATTCTCATTCCCTTTCCCTTCTCTCTCTCTCTCTCTTATTTATTTTTTGGGCGGGGGGATGCAAGAGCCCTTCGCCCCCGTTTCCCTCTTTTCCTCTTCTTCTTCCTCTTCTTTCTTTCCTTTTATCTTCTCTTTCCCTTTCCCTTTCCCTTCTCTCTCTATCTCTTATTTATTTTTTTGGCGGGGGGTGGGGAGGGAGGAGGCAAGAGCCCTTCGCCCTTCCCCCGTTTCCCTCTTTCCTTCTTATTCCTCTTCTTTCTTTCCTTTTATATTTTCTTTCCCTTTCCCTTCTCTCTCTTATTTATTTTTGGCGGGGGGGGGGAGGAGGCAAGAGCCCTTCGCCCTTCCCCTGTTTCCCTCTTATTTCTCTTCTTTCTTTCCCTTTCCCTTCTCTCTCTCTCTCTCTCTTATTTATTTTTTTGGCGGGGGGGGGGGGGGGGGAGGTAAGAGCCTTTCGCCCTTCACCCGTTTCCCTCTTTCCTTCTTCCTCTTCTTTCTTTCCTTTTATATTTTCTTTCCCTTTCCCTTTCCCTTCTCTCTCTCCTTATTTATTTTTTGGCGGGGGGGGGGGGGGGAGTGAGGAGGAGGCAAGAGCCCTTCGCCCCCGTTTCCCTCTTTTCCTCTTCTTCTTCCTCTTCTTTCTTTCCTTTTATCTTCTCTTTCCCTTTTCCCTTTCCCTTCTCTCTCTCCCAGATAGCAAAGTATCTGGGGCCCATATGGGATTTATCTGGGCGTATCTGGGATGCAATATGGGCCCCAGCTGTGATGCACATATGGGGCCCATTTGGATCCCATATAGCCCATATGGGGCCCATATACCGTTTGCACCCGGGTCCCCAAATGGGTACCATGTGGGCCATGTTGGTTTTTACATCTGGGTCCTATGTGGGTCCCACGTGGTATCAAGATTGTGTTTTCATCTGGGTCCTATATGGGCCCCATGTGGTTTCAAGATTGTGTTTTTATCTGGGTCCTATATGGGCCCCACATGGTACCAATGTCCTCTTTCCATCTGGGTCCAATATGGGCCCCACGTGGTATCAACATCAGATATTCATCTGGGCCCCTTATGGGCTCCACATGGTATCAATGTCTTCTTTTCATCTGGGTCCAATATGGGCCCCACGTGGTATCAAGATCAGATATTCATCTGGGCCCCTTATGGGCCCCACATGGTATCAATGTCCTCTATTCATCTGGGTCCAATATGGGCCCCACGTGGTATCAACATCAGATATTCATCTGGGCCCCTTATGGGCTCCACATGGTATCAATGTCCTCTTTTCATCTGGGTCCAATATGGGCCCCACGTGGTATCTAGATCAGATATTCATCTGGGCCCCTTATGGGCTCCACATGGTATCAATGTCCTCTTTTCATCTGGGTCCAATATGGGCCCCACGTGGTATCAAGATTAGATATTCATTTGGGCCCCTTATGGGCCACACATGGTATCAATATTGCTTTTTCATCTGGGTTCAATATGGGCCCCACATGGTACCAAGATCATGTTTTTATCTGGCTCCTATATGGGCCCCACATGGTACCAATTTCCTCTTTTCATCTGTGTCCTATATGGGCCCAACATAGTATATTAGTGTCGCTTTTTCATCTGGGTCAAATATGGGCCATGCGGGTTTAGGGTAAAATCTAGGCATTCCCATGCACATAAAACCCCTTATGGCCCATCTGAGAACCATATGGTATCAATAATTGTGTTTTTATATGGGTCCCATATGGGCCACGTGGGTTTTGTATGAGTAAAAGCTGGTCAATCTGAACTGAAACCCTTGTAATTCTCACATGGCACGCATCTGGACAAAATCTTCATAATTGGGCGTATCTCGTATCAAGTGAGGTTTTTGGTATCATTTGGGGTCCACATTATAAATGTAGATCGTAGAACACAGAAAAATAAAATCAACATACAAAATCAAGATACATTTTCTTTTCTTTTTAATAGATGGTAAAAGGAAAACGTTATTTCTTCCATAATAAAACTCAACACGTGAACTATAAATGTTACTACATTTACATGTATTACATACAGGGTACATCTTCTACTGTTTATATACATGTCAGCTACAGTCCCAAAACATGGTATGTACTTCAAACTTCCACTAAGATATGATTACATAAATGTCAGGATTCCCACATAAATTTGAGGACTAAATTCCATGACCCATCTTCACCCTAGCGGTTCCATGACCAGATAAATACCATTCTGGTATGGGTTATGGTATCCAAGCGGCGTATAAATTCCGCTTCCATCGTCTGTCAAAATTGGAATGCTGCAATAG